TCTCTCACACACTCACACACACACAAACAACCTCCTGGCGGAGAGGGCAGTGAAAAAAGGATCAGCAGCAACGACAAGAAACAGAGATAAAGCAGGTGCATGGACCAACGCCACGCCTGCGTCAGCCGTGGCCCAGTCAGAGGCGGCAGAGAGGCACGTCATTGCGAGAACACACACACACACACACACAGACAAAAAAAAAAACGGTTCGGCTTTTGTGAAGTGAACGACGACAATGAGGCGGCAAAGAAATAAAAGAAGGAGAACACAAAACAAAAACAAGGAACGAAACACGCACACACGCACACAAACGCGTACAGACATCAACGAGAGGGAGATAAACACACGCACATACGCCTCTGCGTCCATACATGCGGAGTTACTTTTGCCGCGGTGGTGTTCTCTCCTTCTAACATCACAAACGCCAGGAGAAGCAAAGACACCAACGCAATATAAGCGGAAAAGAAGGAGAGAAAAAAAAAGCGAGTGAAAAATGTTGACGCCACTCGGACGTGGCGTCCCGGGTAAGCTAGTATAAGGCAGAAGAAATCAACCAAGGAACGAACTAGGCGCCGCGGGAGCCATCAAGAAGCAACACGGACCTTCCTAGAAGTCTACCGCCCCACTCTTCCCAGGAAACATCAGTGACTCGCGGCGTATGCAACGCCGTCCCGACAAGACGGTATCTGCAGTGACTTCAGACGCGCTTCCCAGAGCCGCTCGGTTAGGGCGCAAAACGTCACGGCATCGAATTCACTGGGCAATGATTTAATGGTGTCATACTCGTGCTGCAGCAGCACATTTTCGAAGTTGCCTTCCATGGCGGGGAGGCTAGAGGGCGGGATTACCGTCAGTGTGTGGAGGTACACAAACTGGTAGATCTGATTGGGGGAGACGGTGAAGACTTGTAGGGCGTTGGGCCTCACGACCGGGTTCGGTATGCCCGTCACGTACGGCGCACCGTCCTCCACCACCGCCAGCGCGACGGAGGGAAGCAGGGAGACGACGTCCTTGAACGGCAACACCTCCCTAACCGCCTCCGCCTCGTCTCCCCAGGCCTCGTCGTGATCCTCGGTGGTTTCCGCCCACCGTTGCGTCTCGCTGGTGCGTTTGAGAGGAAAAAGAAAGCGGTCGCCTCTCGCCGCGCTTCTAAAGTACAAGCCATGCGTCGTCGCCCACAGCATGCCCCAGTGCGGCTGGCCATACGAGAGCAGGGCACACGCCACGCTCAGCACAACGGGGCTGCTTCTAACCTCCAGCTGCCGCGAGAAGCACCGCGCAAAGGCCGTCTGGGTCTGCTTAATGCGCCGCTCCGCGGAGCCGCCCCCGGGGCTCCACAGCCAGGACATCAGGCGGCCCGCCCTTTCCCGCCGCGTCGGGGCGGCGGCGAGCAGGATGGCGAAAAGAGTCTGGTAGCTAAAAGGGTGCGGGGCGACCGTGTAGGTCAGGGTGGCGGCGTTGCCCAGCGACACCGCCGTGGGCGCAGGGCCCGCCTCGTCCGCCCGCATGGAAAGCAGGGTGGGCGGGGGCGCAGCGAAGGGAAGCGGTGGCGAGAGCTGCTGCCGCTGGAGCACGCGTGCGGTGCGGAGGCGGAAGACAGACAAAGAAGGCAGTGGAGGGGTGGGGTGGGGGGTAAAGAAGAAAAAGATGCCAATCCGCCACGAGAGAGCGAGAGACAAAAAAAAACAAGAAAGAAATTAACCACGAAACACAAACCGGCAACGGCAAACCAAAGAAACGCAGAAACAGCAGAACAACAACAACAAAAAAAAAGGAAAGGACGGTGAGTGGCGAATATAAAACGGAGAGGCTTCCGCCCCGCAACCCCTGACAAAAAGTGACCGCAGACACCGTGTGTAGACACATGCAGCCTCCACTCACCTTTTTTTTCTCCCTCCCTCTTTCCCTTTCGTTTGTTAAAAGATATAAATATCAATCCTCCTCAAGTTCTCTTAACACTTGCCCGTTGCTTTCCTCCACTTGTGTTGACCTCCTCCCAGCTTCCTCACGGGAGTTCGGAGGGGAGGGGAGTGAAGGAGCACACCACCAAACGCGCAACAACGCACGCGCCGCCTTCTCGCTGGAGCGGAAGCGAAGGGGACAGGACGGCGACAACACACACACACACATATCTGATGTGAAGTGGCGGCGAGGACACATAAATGCGCAAGCCTCTTTCCCCTCCCTCCTCCTCCTCCTCCTCCTCAGACTCAGCTTCGACGCACCCCAACGGATTCAAGCGCCTGCTCAAAGGTGTTGGCGGTGAGGACGGGCTTCCCGTCTGGCCCCTTCTCAACAGACATCTCCAAGACAAGCAGCAGCTGCTTCATCGGCATAGACGCCGGGAGGAGGTGGTCAACGCAGCGGTACAGATCCGCCTGGGTTGCAAAGGGAAGCCCAAGCTCGTGGGCAATCACCGGTAGCGCCTCTGGAGGGACGCCAGGCAGCGCCACCTTCACGGAGAAGCATGAGACCATCTCCAGGCTATCCAGCACCTCATACAGGGCTGTTGTGCCGATCACGAGTAGCTTTCTGCCCTCCGGCGGCGGTCGCTTGATAAGCACGAGTAACGCTTGCAAGATTGCGTTGCTGTATCGACCACCCAGGTGCGAGAATTCAATAATGCGCTCAATGTCGTCAATGATGATAACGCTTGCAGGAGATCGATAGGCATCTTCAAAGGCCTTGCGAATGATATTTACTTTTTGCAGCTCACCATAGCTGACCATGCCTTCACTGGAGATAACCTTGACGTAGGGAAATTCGGCCCGTTCTGCGAGGTGCGCCGCCACGGCTGACTTACCGGAGCTTGGCAGCCCCTCAATCAACACGCTAAGCAAATTGATACGCTTACCCTCCCCCTTTAGCAGCTCCACATACCGGTCGCAGCAGCTCTCAACTCCCTCCCACTGTTTACCGTAAGAAATGATACCGTCGCCCTTGAGGTTGCTACACTCCTCCTTTGCCTTCCCAAAGGCCGGCTGCACCTCCTCAACAGCATGAAGAAAATCCTGCCGTGACACAAACACGTCCCGCACATTCACCACCTCGGTTGGATGGTCGAGGTCTATGTGCTTGTTGAACGCGTTGGAGATGGCGGAGCGCACCACGCCCTCAATCTCGGCACCGGAGTAGTTTTTGGTCATCCCGGCGAGCTCCGCCAGGTCCACGTCCTTGCCAATGACGCCGTTCTCACGCATCCCGCGGGTGTGGATGCGAAAGATCTCCTCTCGCCCCTCCTCGTTTGGGAGGCTGATCTCCACGTGCACCTCAAAGCGGCCCGGCCGCAGGATTGCCTCGTCAATGAGGTCCAGTCGATTCGTCATGCCGATGAGAAGGACGTTGTTCAACGAGTTTACCCCGTCAATTTTGGAGAGCAGTTGATTGACCACGTTGTCGTTGACGCCGGTGGAATCCCGTACGGCACCGCGCTGCTTACAGATGGCATCGAACTCATCAAAAATGATCAGGTGGAGCTTGGAGAGCTCCCCTTTTGCCGCATCCTCCGCCTCGGCATCCAGAAAGAGCTTCCGCACATTTTCCTCCGTCCCGCCAACAAACTTGTTAAACACCTCGGGTCCATTGACAATCTTTGGCGGGTGGCAGTTGAGGATTTCCCCAATTTTGCGGGCAATAAGTGTCTTTCCGGTGCCGGGTGGACCGTACAGCAGGACCCCCTTGACGTGCTTCACCCCCAGCTTCTTCATGTAGGAGGCAGGGAAGAGGCGACTCGCAAAGGCACGACGAAACACCTGCGCAAATTCGCTCCGCAGTCCACCGATGCCGAGGCTCTCAAGGTTAAAGTTTTGCATCAACTGTGGTTGCTGGGCATCCAACTGGTTGTCCGGCACGTTCGCGAGCGTAATTTCGCTCTTCTCCGTGGCAAGAACAATGAGACTCGTGCTGGGGTCAAGCACGCCAACGTCTCCCAGGCCATCACAGTTGAGCTGCGTGACAGTCACCAAGAGTCGGAGGCTGGAGTCCAGTACCACAGCCAACATCTGCGTCTCGCGAAAGCACTGTCCCGTGAACTGCGCGAGAAAGTAGCCAATAAACTCCATGCAGTCCAACGTGCCGCCTTTTTTGGAGGCCACGATGTGCTCCACCCTCAAGGTCATTTTCGCAATGGCCGGGATGTGCTGCGGGGGCGTCCGAAGAATCACCGTGCTGCCTGTCGTGGTGGAGAGGCCGAGCAGGCGACGCTGGATGCTGTTCATCCCGACATGACCGGCCTTGATTCCGGCGTTGACGGACACCGTGAAGAGGAAGTCGTTGAGCATGACAATCCCTGAGCTACCAACGCAGCTGTGGGCGTCGTGCGGGTTCAGGTAGAGCAGGTTGGTGCGGGCATCCTCGTCCTTGAGGACGGAGCACACAATGAGAGGCGCGGACATGATGAATACGGGCTCTTTGCAGCTGCGCCGCAAACCAGCTAGATATATAAATATATATATATATCCTTCTTCCCTCAAATACCTTCACCGCAATACACAAAGCGAGAGAGTGAGAGGAGGAGAAAAATAAAGTCGAGGGAGAATTAAAAAAAAAAGTAGAAAAGGAAAACAAAAAAAAGGAAGACAAGGCGCCGCGGCAAAGCATTGCCACCACGCGGGAGCCAGACACCCCTCTCTGCAGCGGAGAGGAAAGAAGAAACAGAACACGAAGAAATGACGTTAGCTGATGCAACGTGCCACAATGTCAGACTCCCTTTGAAGCAGGACTCGGAGAAAGAGGGTGTGCCGCCTATTGTTGCCTGTGACTTTCCCAGGCCCGACTCAGCTAGTACGCTGGTGGATCCTCCAACTTCGCCTGTTCCCATAAACTCAGCACCTCATTCAGCGAACGATGAGCGGAGCCGCTTGTACTCGGGGTGAACAATGAGCGATACCGCGCGTAGGAGTACGGGGTTGGACAGAGTCGTTGGAAGTGCATGCGCCGCACAAACTCCTCCTCCGCAATCAGACACGTCTCGAGCTCCGTCGCATCCGTCAGGGCATCAAGAAATGGATGCCCGTAGGAAAACGTAAGCCTATCCTCTTCCCGCATTTGCGAAAGCGTCAAGACGGCGTTTTCCCGCCGCTTCGTCCCCCGCGCGGCGGTGAGGCCAACAAGTGTCAGCGTGTCCGCAACAAAGTTCCCCTTGATGCATTGATCCAACAAGGAGTAGTGCGTACTGAGGGAGGGCATAATGTTTACTTCCATCAACACAGGCATCGGCACGGGGTTGTGCGAAGAATGCGGGCGTCGCAGCAGCACATCCACCCCGTACACTTCGAAGCAGCCGGCACCCACCGTGTCACTGATAGCCTCTTGCTCTAATATGACGTGCGGTTCCACCGCAAGCAGCGTCTTCACAAGAAGGTCTTGCACGTGCGCCATCGTTGCGTTCCAGTCCAAACCACGCGTGCAAAAGTGCCTCTGTAGCGCCGCGAGCGTCCACTTGGAGGCACTCATCCCGCCCTCCTTGGCAGCGGGCTCGTCGGGCGGCACAAAGTCCTCGGATTTCTTGTTGATGGTAAAGTTTGTGAGGTGTGCGGTGAGGGAGGCGCTGGGGGGTGCGTCCGCGGCCTCCGCCGTGGGGTACGGCGACGTGGCAAACCGCACGAGCCCCTCTTCGTACAAATATGCCCGAAGTGGGGCGTAGGAGGTCGCCACCACGTAGAGTCGCAGGTCAAACTTATAGCCCTCCACAAGCAGTGGGTCGGCGACGTAGCGCTGCACAAGCAGCCGTCGAGAACGCGTGTCACTCTCACCGCAGCCGTCCGGCTGACGCAGCGGCGATGGCGGCTGCGCGCGCTCATTGCCCCTCACGAGATAAATGCCGCGTCCACAGGCGCTGGTTGTGGGCTTAACGATAAATAGCTGACCGCGCTCCTTGCCTGAGCGCAGCACCCGAGTCAGGGCCTCCTGCTCCTCCGGCAGCACCCAGCCTTCGGGGAAAAAGTCCCCAAAGGAGCCCCCGCCCTTTTCGTCACACCAGCGCCCCCGGGCAGCCACGAGGTGCTTGTGCAGCTCATCCTTCTTCCCGATGCGCCAGGTTCCGGGGAAGTGGTTGACCCGCTGAAACGGCAGCAGCCGCGCAAAGTCGCTTCGCACCGGGCGCTTGCACCACTTCAGGGACCACGACGTCGACAGGAGACTCACCTCCTCCGTAAACCCGGCCCGCTCCAACGCACACATGACACTTGAAAAGTGCACCGCGTTGTCGGACATCGTGAAGCCCAACACAGCGTACGCCCCTCCGCGCTGCACCTCCGTTTGCGCCCCCGTGTGCGGCGGTGGCAGCCAGGCAAGCGGAGGCGGCTCAACGTACGCGGCGGTGTCGCCGCTGTGGGGGTCGCCGTCCCACGGGCGGTCGAGCGGCAGAAACGCAATGGTCGGCTGCCGCCTGCGAAACGGACTCAGACAGAGCGTGATGCACGCGTCGGCCGCCGCGCTTCGCACGACGGTGTGAACTTTGGTCGTCGTTCGCCACACACTTCCGTTGCCCTCGTCGTAGTGCCGCACGGGAGGGGCGGCGAGGTGCACCGCGCCGTGTGCCAGGCGCCCGTTTCGCCGCCGCTGCGCTTCCGTCATCCACCGCCGCCCGCCCTCGCGCTCCTCCTCCTCAGCCTTCTGCATGCAGCCAACCCCGTGCGAAGGGGTCCCCGCGCTGTGCGGTGCCGCAATGCACCCTCAACCCTTCACACCGCAGGTTGCCCCGCAGCCGAGTTCACCCAATGCAATCGAGAAAAAAGGCGAACAGCCCGAAATGAAAGTCGCACATATATATATATATATATATCGAAGCGACCCCAGAGACGACAAGGGCACAAAGCGAGGAACATAATCAAGTAGCTGGACGCAGACCCCTCCATGAAACAAACAACAACAACAAGTGCATGGAGGCACATGACACAAGAGGTACGAGGGGCAACGTGAAAAAAAAAACAAGAAGCGGGAGGGATGGGAATAATAAATCCAAGGAGTCAGCACCCAATTAACCCCCTTTGCTCCGATTATTAATGTTTCTTGTTGCATGCGTGTTTCTATCTACATGCTCAAGCACGCACAGCGGTTACCACAGCCTTGTTGCTGAACAGGGGAGCCAACTCACTCGAGGTCCTCGTCCTCACTTTGGTTATTCCGGTGATCGTAGTCATCCCGTATCTGCAAAACATCCTCCACAACTTCTTTCCACTCCTCACTCTCCATGCCGTACGTCTCCTCGTAAAGGTGTCGGCGGCGGTGCAGCACCTTTTCTGCCGCCGTTAGAATCTCCTGAATCATGGGCGCAGATCCGAACGTTGATACAGCGTGAAAGCCAACATCGATGCCATCGAGCGCCCCCGAGGCCAAAAGCTCCTGCGGGAGCAGAAAATCTTGTGGGAACGTAGGTGAAATGGGGTAGCTATTCGCTGTTACAAGGGGCAGATAATTTGACGTGCGCAGCGGCAGCGCGTAGCGCAGCAAAGCCTCTTGTCGGGGATACGTTAGGTCATGCAGCTTGCCTGCCCCGCGCAACGTCAAGGCGTGACCCAACACACGCCCAGCTTCGGTTTGAGCATCGAGAGTTACGGGATGGGTTAGGGGGGCGTAGCAGCCACCCCTGCTGACCTGCGACGTCGAGAGCAGCGGATAGCGCTGGAGCAGATCCCAAAGATCGTTTCGAGGAGTGTGGGCGTCGTACACACGCAGCGGGACTGCTGCAAGGGCGGATGCCACACGCAGCGTCCTCGTGGGCCGCACTGCCTCTTGCCAGTCATGCAGGTAAAACGCAGGCCCACTCGTCGCTGTCGCGCTTACGCTCCCATCATCGCGAACACCGTAGAGGGCGGAGTCGGCGGCCATTGCAACCAACTGAGCCGTGGCAGTGTCGTTCCGCAGCCACGAGGGCGCGCTCACACCTGCTGCTGTGTGTTCTGCAAACGCGCCTCTCCATTGCTCCAGCTCCAGCGGCAGGTACACCGCGCGGTCCTGCCGTGTCAGGTGCGAGGTGGCAAGAAGTCGGTTCAGGCACATTTCATCTTTTCGCCTGTCCGCAAAGTCCACCGCGCTGTCCAGGGTCACCACCTCCTCCGGCAGGGGCTGAAAACAGGCGAAGAAGACGGCGGGAATTTTCCTCCCCGCGTCTTCCCAAAACTCCTCCATCACGTTACACGCCGCCCCACCAAAGGCGGAGTCGCCGTCCAGGAAGCACTGCACTCCCTGCAAGGAATCCGCCTCCTCTAGCTGCTGCCACATACTTCCCACCACCGCCGCAACGTCGCAGCTGCGCGAGGAAGACAGCTGCGACATTCCAAAGCCAAAACTATGCAACAGTGGTACATCGCCCGCGTTCCCGCCCAGGCTGTGCAGTGGGTGGAGGACATGCACGCAGTCCTCACTCACGCCAGTGCGAATGTAGTGCCACCACGGCACCACTTCGTCATGCTCATTAAAAAGACCCCGCTTGATCTGTTTCATGGAGTTGCACGCGCCCTGAGTGCCAGGCGCACCCTGCGTGGAAGGAGGACGAGGATGGGGCCCGTCAGATGCTTGCAGCTCCTCCGCCCCTCCCCACTCTTGCATCCCAGCGGTGTTACTATTACTATTAGTATTATTATTATTACCCTCGTTGTTATCATCCGCATCGCGCGAAGCGGAGGAGGCGGGGGAGAAGAAGGCGTCCCCCTCTGCCGCATGGTTCGTTTCCCCAAAGGAATCCCCACGACCTGCTTCGTGTTCCGCATCCGCAGTCGTCTCCGGGCGGGCTCTGCGACGGGGAAATTTCATCCGCGTCGCATGCGGCGCATCCAATAAAATCAGGCGTGGCACCCGCACTGGCGCCCCGGTGCGCTGCTGCGTCGCCGCCCCACCCCGCACGGCCTCCACCCGCCGCTCGGTGTAGAGCGTGCGGCGCGAGGCGTCGTACTGCGTGGTGCCGTTCGCCCACTGCGCCGCCACAAGCGAGGCGTAGTTCCCCAGCGCCACCGTGAGCAACTCCCGTTCGGCCGCCATTGCCGCTGGCCAACAACAACAACAACAGGAACTACGCACTACAGCTGCCCTGCCGCACCGCCGTAGAGGGCGAAGAAGAAGAAAAGGCAATAAGAAAAGCGCACAACTCAGGGGCAGAGGCAGTGGGCGGTGGGCGCACTTCTCCCACAAACAGCGGGGAAACCGCAGAGGGAATGGCGCAGGAACGCGCAGAAAAAGAAGCTTCACAAATGACGCGCGCGCGTCCCATGCAGCGACGCATTTGGGGAACTGAGCCGGAAAAATCCAACAAAGACGACAAGACGGGGGACTGCGCAGAGGCCTGGAACCTTCCACGCCGTTAAACCCAACATTCCCTTCCCCGAAGAAACCCCGTGAACAACGCACGGTAAGGCAAACGTAGAAGTAAGTAAGATGCAAGGAGTTTAAGGAAGCCCACAGGGGAGCAATAAGAAAGAAAAAGAAGAAACAGGGGGGTCTCCATGCAATCGAAGCAAAAACAAAGAAAAAAAAGGAAATGAAGAGAGTATGAGCAGGAAATGCAAAGAGAGGCAGAAAGTTCAGCATGCACATTGGGGGTGGGGGATGGAAGCACACACACATAAAAAGGAAGTAAGGGCCGGGGGGCTCAAAGAATGACAGAGAAGCATGCAAGCAAACAAAGAGGGGGTAGTGTGAGAGATCGTAGGAAGTGCAGGCATATGAGGGTATGCATGCAGGTTTCTCTCTGGGCGCGTTGCCCTTTTCGTCCCCCGTATGCGTTTTGCGGCGCATCTTGTGCCGCTGCGTTTGCTAGTGGAGATTATTTGCTTTACTATTACCATGATTGTTTTAAAAAAAAATTTTGCTTCTTCTTCCTTTTTTTTTTATGGCGTTTCTTTTTCACCCGCTGGCCGCCTCATCTCCCACGCGCCACGTTTGCCGCCCAACCCGAACCGCATCGCCCGGGAAGAAAATAAACCAAAACGCACGCACGCGAAACACGACCCAACCCCGTAGGCTGCGAGGTTTTCCAAACACGCCGACTGGTTAATG